GTCCTCCACCTGTGGACCCATCAAACAGAACCTGTCCTCCACCTGTGGACCCATCAAACAGAACCTGTCCTCCACCTGTGGACCCATCAAACAGAACCTGTCCTCACCTGTCCTATGAGCAGCAGCTGAAGACCTCAGATGGAGACTGACTGGAGGATCTGGTGAGCGATGGTGGACCTGAACCCTGTGAGACCTCAGAACAGAACCTGGTCTCTGGGAGTTCTGAGGCTGTTAGAGAGTCTCTCTGTGGAACTCTTCATGTGTTTTAGAGCTGAGTCCTGGTTCCACCAAAAGAACCCAGGCTGACCACAGCCAGGCTGACCACAGCCAGGCTGACCACAGCCAGGCTGACCACAGCCAGGCTGACCACAGCCAGGCTGACCACAGCATGCAGCAGCGTCGCCCGGTGTCAGGGTCCAGCTCAACTCATCCAGGATGTCCAGGTGAGGTCAGACCATGGTTCTGTCCACAGCCTCTCAGCTCCTCTCTGACAGTTTGCTTCAGATGAACATCAGAACTACATCATCACTGAAACTGAAACTGTACAGAGCCGATTTATTCAGCAACTACAGTAATACACAAAATACTACACACAGGACGTAAATATTATTGTTAAAAAACACACGAGGTGAGGTGGTCTCACCTGTCAGCTCAGAGGTGGTCACACCTGTCAGGTCAGAGGTGGTCTCACCTGTCAGGTCAGAGGTGGTCTCACCTGTCAGGTCAGAGGTGGTCACACCTGTCAGGTCAGAGGTGGTCACACCTGTCAGGTCAGAGGTGGTCACACCTGTCAGGTCAGAGGTGGTCTCACCTGTCAGGTCAGAGGTGGGCTGTCCAGGAGCTGCTGTCAACCCTCCAGTCTGGTCTCTAGTGCCTCCAGGTTGTTGTGAAACTGAAAGCGTCAGCAGCTTAAGCTCCTCCCACACAGATCAGACATCAAACCAGACGGGACATGTGGTCAGATCCAGGTCAGTGGGACAGGTAAGACTCAGAGGCAGGTCACCTGAAACCTCTACACCTGTCAGAAAGAAGCAGCAGGTTCCAGTAAAAACATTTCTGTTTAACCTCGACTGCATTTAATACAAACTTTCTTCTGTGGAGTTTTTTATATTTTCATACAGAAACAAAAGGTATAAGATGTTTTTTACAAGGTAAACACAGTATTTGATCTGTAAGTAACGTAGGTATTAATATTTGATCTGTAAATAAGTATTAATTTTTGATATGTGGAATAAAGTTAGTATTAATATTTGATCTGTAAGTTACAGTTAGTATAAGTATGTACTTTGTAAGTACTCTGTAACACTGTTTAACACCATTTGAAATGTAACCAGATGTTTCCTTCATCTGTGTCAGAAATGAACAGATGTGTTTCAGGCTCCAGGCTCAGCTGGTGTTTAAACTCACAGATTACAGATTAAATGTTTCTGTAGTCAGGAGACAATACTATGTGGTCATATACTGCCATTATCATGGTATAATGGGAGCATGGAGGTATAATGGGAGCATGGAGGTATAATGGGAGCATGGAGGTATAATGGGAGCATGGAGGTATAATGGGAGCATGGAGGTATAATG